TGAAAATCTTCCAAAATCTTGTGATTAATGAGAGACAAATTTTGAGATTTTATTTAAGTACTTTCTGCTTAAAAGTTAGTACCATGGAGACTTTTATAAAAGTCTCTAAAAGTTATAAAAATTTGAATATCCCAAGACTTATAGAGATTTCTAAAAAGTTTTAATTGAATACATTGTAACTTTTAGAGATTTTTAAAAGTTTATAAAAGTCTCAATTGAATACACTAATACTTTTAGAGAGTTTTCAAAAGTCTACATTAAATACCCCTAAACTTTTTAAATCACAAAAAGTCATTAAAAGTCTCAATTGAATACACCCACTGACATTAACAAAACTTGGAAATGTTCTTGAAAAAGAATTTGAAAATATAATTATTTAATTTTTGCAATGTAAATTGAATTTTACATGGATTCTACGCACCTAAAACATACTAGAATTTCGATTTACTTTTCATTGAAACCTCATGAGTACTAACTAATTTTGTATGATAAATATTTTTCTACAAGTTTTTCTTGGTGCAAACAGGGGCTAAATTACACCGTCCAAGTTCATCAAGCTCGTAACTCACCTCCATTTGTCCTCAAATCCACCATCCCTTTAGATAATATATCATGGAAAGCAGTTCTAAACTTCAAATAGAATGGAGAGAGATATCAACTTGAAGAGCGTATTCTTTCCTCAAGTGGCTCCTCATCATCGACTGAAGATGTCAATGACCAAAGTTTAGACATTGCACACTTTTCTAGTACACTTACAGTTTCAAGTATTGTTAAGAATTTGGGTGAAACCTGAATTCCTTATTGAAGTAATTGAAGAATTTTAATTGAAGTGCCGTCAAGAAGAATTCAGTTTGAAATGCTATTGGAGTCTTATATCAAGTTGAAGTTCTATTTTGGAAGCTCACTGGAAGTTGAAATTTCTAGTACACTCGATTTTTTAGTATCCTACTTCATCAACAACTCTAATAAGAGGGTTTAGACATCTCCTACATGTTCCCTATAAATATTAGGCTATTCTATACAATTTTATAGTGTGAGAAAAGAGATAGCTAAAACTTTAGGATCAATTGTATATTTCTCAATTATTATTGGTGCAATAAAATCTCATAATTCTTCAAGTATATAAATATATTAACACAACAAGTAGTATCAAAGAGATTCTGGTATCTTGTTTGTGTCACAACAAGTATAATTTCTACAATTGTACTCTTCATCGCAATTGTTCTCGTAATTTGTGGACGATTGTCCATTCATAACTTTATTCAATCTTCACTAACGCTAAGGATGATCTATGGATGGGTAGCACTACTTTTATCTGAAAGTGATCCCAGATTTTGCTCAAAATTTTTTGGGGCATCCGTTTTTGGGTGACAAAATAATTAATTAAGAGAGAAAAGAGAAACTGTGCACTAGAGAAGCTAGTTTTATATTTTTCTCATTTGTATAATTACAAATGGTGATCCTCTTACATTTATGTACAAAGTGTCCTTAATTTGTAATGATATAATTTGATCGAGACTAATCCAACAAATTATTGTTATTATTTTTCTTATTGAGGTACGACCTACTACCTCCTACTTTCAACTCATCTCATCGTGGGGTGGAAGAAGGTCCAATGGGTTGTTTGTTCACTATTTTAAGTGGTACGTTAGTTGTGTTTAGAATGTCGTGAAATAGTTCGATTTCTATTTACCTGTTAATAAAAAAAATTGCGAGAAATCAACCATCTGCGTCAATGAGAGCTCTTGGGAGTGATAGGTTTGTTATCATCAACGTACCTTTTATTCATTGAGCGGGAGTGTTCCAAATGGGATTCCGAATCATAGCTTTTTTTTATGGGTCAATTTATCAAAAAAAAAATTCTCATAATAGTGAAGGAAAAGTTTTGATTTTTTTTTTCCCTTAAATAATAGATAACTGCTAAAATATGAGGAGTCCAAAACAAAGTGAAAACTATCGAACACAGACAGAAATCCAATAAGCGGACTAATATATCTGTTTGAAACTCATTTTTCACTATTCATCGTATTTCTCAAAAATGATATCCCGAAATTCCTTGAGAAAATCAATTAGCTTTCCAAATTAAAAGAAAGATCCCACAAGTTTTCTTCAGAATGCCTTCATTTAATTCCGCGTCAAAGACGCTTACGCGCTTGTTTTCGTGTCGGGATTTATTCCAGCGGCGGATAATAAAGAATACTGATTACAATCAGATTAGGTGCTTCAGAATAATTGGGGGGTCAAATGCATTTTCTTCCGACAATAAATCCGCAGTCGCTGGATACTGGAATTATAATTTACGGGAATCGAGAATTTTTCCGAACAATCATATTGTTATTGTCCAGAAAAGAGGATTTTTGGGGTGTGGTGATGGCGAAGAGGGGAATATGTTAGCTAAAGTCCACGAAGAGAGACGTGTTTTGGGGTATGCTTAGCACTTTTCATTTCTTCTGCTGTGCCCAATTTTGTTTATTTCCTGTATTCATATGGGTGTGTTTCTTTTTCCGAGAGTCGTGATTTTATTTGCATTATGAATTGTTACTAAGATTAAATATTTAGATAGCTTAAAAGCCTTAAATGAATCATGAAGTAATTGCCTTTTCTTTAATTTTACATCTCGCTCATGATGATATGCATTTCATTTTGGAAAACCTGTGTTAATTTGTTTGCACAGCACATATTATGAACCTTGCTGGATACATTTTCTTACACCAATTGATACGGGTTTATGATAGATATTCAACTTTGCATCTCAAGAAGTAACTTACAATGGTCTGGAGTTCTAGATTATCCTCTATTGGTTTGCCATTTGTGAGTAACGGTTTTAAATCCAATTCTATATAGTAGGGTGAACCCTAGAGAAGGTGGATTTTTTTTTCAGATTTACAACAAGGGCAATGGTGCAAACTGTATGAAGATCAAATTTTTCCTGCCTTTGTTTTCATTTTTGCCTTCATTGACTGGGAAAAAAAAAGGGCAATTTCCATACACAAATATTTATATGAGAAATTTTATTGTCTAGCTTGCACAAACTAGAAACTTAGACTCCAAATGCAGCTTCTATGTTTTTCTTTTGGTTGCTAGATGAAGTGACTATCTTTTGATTGTTAGATATTCGCCAGAGCAATTATTTGCTGTGGTTGCTGCTGTTGACTTGTATGAGGATTTTGTTCCTTGGTGTCAGCGATCAGAGATAATTCGACACCTTCCCAATGGGTCGTTTGATGCTGAGCTAGAAATTGGTTTTAAATTTCTTATTGAAAGTTATGTATCCCACGTGGAGTTAAAGAAACCAAAATATGTAAAGGTAAAAATCACTTCGAGTATAAATGGTTTTTCTTCCTTGAAATTATAATTAACATCTCTATCCTGTTCACTTAATTGTTGGCAAGTCATGCTTGCTTGTTTATCTTTTCTCATTTTATTACATTTATTTGCATGAGGAAATAATGTTGGTAAACAACATAAACTTTTGTTTATTTTATTTCATATTTTTCTTAACAAGGATTATCTGCAAGATTTGACTTCAGAGGATATAACTTAAAATGTTGAGATCAAAAGACTATGGCTGGTATCCTTTGCCTATTTGCATCACTTCTCTGTTGAGTACTTGGTTCAAGTTTCCCTTTTCCTACTTCTCTTTTATGTGGGTAAGGGAGGATGGGTGGCAGGTTCAGAAAATCGGAATGATCTCTCCTTGATGTTGAGTGAGATTTCCCAGGTTTCATCCATACACAGTCTTTCACAATTGACTTTAGAAATATATGCTGAATATTTAGAATTTCCTAGTTAATCTGAAATTTCTAGAAGATTATAAACATGATGTAATTTCTTTGATACAAATGGCGTAGCACTAGAAGAAGAAAATTTGAATTTGCAGCCGAATTGGTGAACAAAGTGATGCTTGGAGCTGTATAGTGTTGGAATCTGTTCTTGATTTCATACAATCTATTTATTGATTAGGATGGGTAATTAGAATTAGATTACATAGATGAATTGGATATTTATTGGTTAGGGTTATTGTTATGATGCGTTGATCATGATGATTACTTATCAAAGGATTTTATTTCTTCCTCCGTCTCTCTCTCTCTGGGCATGTGTGTATTGCATCACTTCTCTGTTGAGTACTTGGTTCAAGTTTCCCTTTTCCTACTTCTCTTTTATGTGGGTAAGGGAGGTGGGAAGGGTGGGTGGCAGGTTCAGAAAAGTGGAATGATCTCTCCTTGATGTTGAGCGAGATTTCTCAGGTTTCATCCATACACAGTCTTTCACAATTGACTTTAGAAATATATGCTGAATATTTAGAATTTCCTAGTTAATCTGAAATTTCTAGAAGATTATAAACATGATGTAATTTCCTTGATACAAATGGCGTAGCACTAGAAGAAGAAAATTTGGATTTGCAGCCGAATTGGTGAATGAGGTGATGCATGGAGCTGTATAGTGTTGGAATCTGTTCATATGGTTACTAATAGTGTGATAATTGGTCTGTTTTGATTTCATACAATCTATTTATGGATTAGGATGGGTAATTAGAATTAGATTACATTGATGAATTGGATATTTATTGGTTAGGGTTATTGTTATGATGTGTTGATCGTGATGGTTACTTATCAAAGGATTTTATTTCTCCCTCCGTCTCTATCTCTCTCTAGGCATGTGTGTAGTGTACAGGCTCAGTGAACCTATGTTCAATGTCATTCCTATTCCTTTAGAGTTCTAGACTTTAATAAGGATTGTAGATAAGACACGGAGTTAAAGTTGGTAATTGACTTCTCCCCCAATTCATTGGCCTGGCAATACTAACATTACTGTCACGTAGATCAAGTTGTAATTGACTTCTCCCCCAATTCATTTGCCTAGCAACACTAACTATACTGTCTCGTAGATCATTGATTTTCATGTTATAGCCTGTTCATAATTTGAAAAGCTGAGCATTGTTATTGATTTGAAAGCTTGACAAGGGGATGCCAAATTTGTAAGAAAGTGAATTTGCGGGTTTCTCAGCAGAAGATATTTGTTCTGAGAAAATTTCACATTACGCTGATTGAGATATTTGAAGTTAAAATGTTGTGAAGGAGAAGACGTCAATTAAATGAGGAAAGATTGCATATGGTCCTGTTCTGTAGTGTTTAGTAGCGGATTAGTAACTTCTGTTTTTGTGAGAAGATTGTTAGAACATTATTGGATTTCATATTACATTCACCACATTTTCTTGTTTGAATGAGGCACAAGGACTCTGTACATAACTGTGGATCCTGAAAAGAAGAAAGAGTAATGAGGATTCTCTGAACATTTTGTTGGTTATGGAAAGTCAAAATTGAGGGACACATTTTCCTTCAATGGATGAGTATGATGCAGGAAAGAGTTGCTGTTCACAGATCTATACCAAACCATGTCTTCTCCAATTAGTTTGGTTCTTTAGTGTCATTGTAATAATTTATATTTTGGGGATGATGGATTGCAAAAATCGATTACATAGATGTCCTAAGCCACCGATCTTATTTTCCTATAAATGTAAAATTATGAGTTTTTTTTACCTTGATAATAGGTGAACGTGTCTTTAGCTCCTGGGTTATTTTAAAAACTTTGTTAAGTTTTTTCACCTTGTGTTTCCCTTTAAATAAACCTGTGTTTTGATGTGAACTGAAGGCTGCATGGGGTTATCTTCCTCTGACTCTCCTGTCTGCATGACTAAGGCTGCATATGCCATAGAAGTGCGGCCTTTGAATTTGAATGTGTAAATATCAACTTAAAATTGATAGAAAAAAAAAGTCCAATTTAGGTTTTTTTTTTTATCTAAGAAATTTATATTTTCATATAATGAACTATTTTATAGAATTACCTAACTTCTAATTTCTTAATCTGTTTCTTTTCCTTTCAGACAACTTCTTTCCAAAGCAGCCTTTTTGATCATTTGATTAACATCTGGGAATTTAATGAGGGACCTGTTCCAGGCACCTGCAACCTTTATTTCTTGGTGGACTTCAAGTTTCAATCACCATTTTATCGACAAGTGAGCACCAACAGAACTATTTTATAGAATTACCTAACTTCTAATTTCTTAATCTGTTTCTTTTCCTTTCAGACAACTTCTTTCCAAAGCAGCCTTTTTGATCATTTGATTAATATCTGGGAATTTAATGAGGGACCTGTTCCAGGCACCTGCAACCTTTATTTCTTGGTGGATTTCAAGTTTCAATCACCATTTTATCGACAAGTGAGCACCAACATTGTGTTAATTTGTCGTAGAAGAGTATAAACACAATAATACTTTTATTCTTTTTTAACGGATTAAAGATATTTCCTGTCTGGTTGAATTGTTACAGCATTTAATGCCTGTATCATTGAAAGATGTCTAATTTCAGCTTCTACCTAGACCTGTGATAAAGATATTCTACGTTGTGATGATATTCAAAATGGGATTTAAGAAATTTTTCCTTGAATCGTTATAGTAGGGAATATAGATGAGTTATCAGAATTCTTGCCAAGGCAACATCAGAATGATCGAAAATTTAGGGTCTTTCTTGTGCAGTTGTCTGGTGACTATAATATCATCCTTTGTGATTATAGGGATCATTCATTCCCTGCTGTCATCACCCATATAAAGCACTGCACAATCCTTTATTCAGCTGCTTACAGTAGGGCATTAGGTCAAATCACATTTCTTCCATCACGTTTCTTTGATTTCAGACATGGATATGCTATCCTAGTTGAAGTGTCTGTACAACAGAATGTAGAATAAGATAAACAAGATCTGGATATGAACTATGGAAAAATGCTTGTAATAGGGTGGCTAAGGAAGTGCTATGGTGGGTGCTATATAGAAAAGGAATTTCTAGTAGATATAACAATATTATTAAGAACATGTATCATGAAACAATAACAAGAGCGAGATGTACTGGTAGTTATAGAGATTATTTACCTATTATTGTAGGCTTGCACGAAAGTTCTAATTTAAGTAACAGTTGAAATAAAGATAATAATGGAGTTATTATCGAGGATTTTGTTAAGTGTTTTTCTAAAAGTAAACGTTATAGGTATCTAAGAGTATGTTTGATTGTCATGGAAAATATCTCCTAGAAAAGAAAATATTTTTCTTATTTTGAGAAAAACAAAAACCTACTTTCCCCATATAAAATGTTTTCCTTAAAAAGAAGGAAAACTAGGTATATTTTCAAAAGTTGGAAAATATTTTCAATGGAAAAAAATAGCAGTCAAACACTCCAAAGTAGGAATTTGGATGGAAAACTGACATTTTAGTATTTTACATAGAAAATAAATACAATCAAACACACTTTAAGTTCAATTATTAACAAGGAAAGTCATTAAGAGGATATTATGCATAAAATTAGAGCGAGTCGATAAGATAGAGAAGTACAATAGGAAATTTGTGTGATAGGAAGATCCTTATATAGGTAAAAGGATAGTTCTACAAAATGGTATTAAACCTTCTATGCTTCAGTGTTAGGTTGTTGAAAGACAAAATATCAGTTGCAAATGAGATATGTTGTAGAAGTGAGAATGCTAAGATGGATGGGTGATTATTGTGACACAAACGGACAATATAATAGGTGTGGAACACAATCAAATTGGAACGAGATTAAGAAAGAGAGTAGAAAGGGAAGAAGAGGGAGAGTAGAGAAAATTTAGAGGGAGACTGTATCAATTTATTCAATATCATAATCTAAATATTACGGTGCATAATCCACCTTTATATATGATCTAAACTAGTATAATTTAAGTAGAAAAATAATAGAAAATCTATTAAATAATACCTTAATTATATTTTCTAAAATAAGCATTCAATTTGAGAAGTAAAAACCTAATAAAATACTATAGAATTTATTAAATAAAACTCTAATTATATTTCCTAAAATAAGTATTTAATTTGAAAATTAAATTAAATAATATGTCAACCATGAGAGGTAGGGATGTATGAGGATTAGTTAAGGGAATGTATGACTTCGGTGGTTGGGACATGCTTTGTGTAGATCTAAAGAGATTATTGTTTATAAGAGTGATGCAATGTTCGTAGAACATGTTATGAATTAAATGAATAATCCGTATTACCAATAGTAATTAATCACACAAAATAAGAAAATAAAAAGCAAAAATAACATACAATATAACATGCTTCACTATTGACATGAGGGCTATTGCATTAGATGCCGCTGTTAAAATTGCACTATATTAAAGAAGAGAATTACGATATGTTTTGGATTTACGTCTCTTTCTGTTTTCTCACTACTATGATATGCAGAATGGAGACTCTCCCTGCCATCCTTTATATAGGAGGAAAATATTATGGCTTACACGTACGAATTCCCCAAAGAACCTCTATTGCACTTAAAAATTCGCCGCTGTCGAGAGAAAAAAGTGTACAATATATTAGGCTTCACACATTTAATAGAACATATCAGAAGAGGGATAGATAGATCAAAACTAACATTTCTATTGTAGTTGATAAGGTGACTCACATGGATCTTCCAATGGATTTATTGATAATATAAATTCTGAAAGGGCAATGGGAAGGAATGACGTATCCGACCTCTAATTTCTACAAAACAAGGTTTAGTTTGTTGTATAATGGTGTTGCTCTTGGCAGCACAAAGTATGGCAGGTCTAATAATTGTTCTATTGTGTTTGCATTTTAATTCAGTGCATATCAATTTTGGTCGAATTTTCTCTAATCATGTCCTTTACATCCTTCTCCATTCCTCTTTATTCATAATTAAATCTAATCATATATTAGGACAACATAATTCTGCATTTTGATTTTACTATCAGTCTTACATACTATGACTAAAAGAACATCAATGTGATCAATTTTAATTCTACTAAACCTAAAACCCTTGAATCCGAAGTGCTTGTACAAAGTTTTATCTTAGATTTAGCCCATTCTCTCTCATCAATGAATAATCATACAGAAGAGAGCTCATCTTAGGGGTCTCATTAGCCTATCCCTGGCTAAACTAGAAGATGAAAACTTGGAGCAACCTTTTCTGCAAGCAGACTGGAATAGAAAGTTCCCGAATAGAAAGTACCCTACTACTACAACCTCGTGGGACTTCTCCTTTATACCTAATAATATTGATATATATAGTAAAAATATTCTTTTCAATTTCGCGCCCATTGTCATATCATGTGATTTTCCTGAAGCAGTGAGAACCATATGCAAGTCTTGCTTCTATTCACTATACCTTCGATTAATTTTTGAAGTAGGTAAATGTGTTGCACTGTAGATCTCCTTTGGATACCTTTCAATTACATCTTGATATGTGTTTGATCATCCTCTCCCATAATTTATTATAGGACAATATCTTTATAGTTAGTATAATCCTGAATATCCCATTTAGTATTGTTTCTCGGAACTATTGTAATCTCCTCCATTCATGGGTCATTTTTGATCCTTTTAAGATCTTGTTGAAAATTTTCATTAACCACAAAATACCTACTGCTGTCCACTCTAGCCACTTCCATATTTTGATAAAGATTTCATCCAGTTCAATTGCTTTTCTCTTAGCATCCCTGATTTCCGAAATCTGTAATCATCTGGTAAAGTTAACAACACTAGAAGGAAAATTTGAAAGACTGTACTTCAAAATTGAAGTATGTGAAACCTGTCGGTTAACAACTCCCTAAATTATCTCCCTTTTAACTTGTTCTACATTTGATTTGCTGCTACCGTTGGAAGATCCTTGAGAGAGCTATCAAGAAGAATAGACTGTCTGATGCTTTTAGTTGGTCCAGTGCTTGGTCATCCCCAGTAAAGACTTGGAAAGGATTTTTATGAGAAAATCATGCATGACCAAGCTTTACTGGTTAAGTGGAACTGCCTATTCGAGTCAACGCTTTCAACACTTTGTGGTCACATCTTAAATGAACTCTTGTTACACTTCATAAACATTTGTGGTGCTTGCTGACCTGACATTATATATTAACTTTTCCTTTTCCACTGTTACTGTTGCAGGTTGGGACCTTATTGTGAATATTTTTATATTACATATATTTGCATTACAGTTACATAAAAGATATTATTTTGCGTCAGATCTGCAATCCCTTGATCTAAAATGAGTGCATGGAATTGAGTATTTATTTCGTAATGGGATTATTTGAAAATGAGTGCTTAATACGAATGATCTGAATTGTAGAATATATTATTTTGAGCCTTTTTCTTTTACGGTGGCCTTTCTGAGCACGTAATGGGTTTTTGAATGACAGATGGCAAATATGTTCTTCAAGGAAGTGGCCTCCCAATTAGTTGGTTCATTCAATGACCGTTGTAAACTGATATATGGACCTGGGGTCCCAGTTCATGAAAATACTTCTGAACAGAGATCGTGAAAATTTACATCATCTATGCCTTTATGGCGATGTCTTCAAATCCAGTGCCATATGAGCTCAATTACTGAATCAGATTCGAACGTCTGTTTCTTTTGTCTCACACCTCAGATCATTCCAGGCGTCTTCATTGTTTGAATTGAAGGCTGAAAGGTGCCGATTTGTCATGGCTGGAATTCCCGTTCCTTCAATTTAGTTATGTATTTCATTCCACCCTTTAGGCAGAAGTATACAAGTTTCCAGTTTCACATTTCATTTTTAAGGATTAGATATGATTATACTTTTGAGTACAGCTCTACAGAGTGGATTAATTTTGCAGCTTTGATATTGTATCTCTCTTCCTCTAGAGCTAGATGATACTCAGGGTGGCTCTAAATACACGACCACTGTATGATTTCTTTTATGAACAATTGCATTCCACGATGGCTAATCTTTGGTCGTGGCATTTTGCCTCTAGGGCTTTCTGTTAAACTGGAAAAATTCTAAATAAGAATCATGCAAATTGTTGATCATACTATTGAGGATGAAGTGCAGAAGATTCACAAAATTTTCATTCCTCTGAAAAAATCTTTCAAAATACATACATCTCTGTTTTCTTTTCTTTTTGTGTCATCTGAAAGAATGAAGTTATCTAGCATCACTAGTACTAGAGCACCCATTCAAATTGTCACACTCAATAAGTTCGATTAAATGAATCATGTGACATTGCATTTAAATGAATATATAATTTAATATCATGGAATTGTCACATTGATTGGTGCTAGATATTAGTAATCCTGAATAATATAACTCCATCTGAAATGCACGAACTTTTACCTCTTGTGTTTGGTCTAGTAAGCCCACCACCAGATGTCAAGTCTAGCTATATTTCTACTTTTTAGCATTCACGTTAATTGGTGCTAGATATCAATAATACTGAATAATATAACTCCATATGAAATGCACGAACTTTTACCTCTTGTGTTTGGTCTTGTAAGCCCACCACTAGATGCCAAGTCTAGCTATATTTCTACTTTTTAGCATTCACGTTGTTTGGTGCTAGATATCAGTAATACTGAATAATATAACTCCATCTGAAATGCACGAACTTTTACTCTTGTGTTTGGTCTTGTAAGCCCACCACCAGATGCCAATTCTAGCTATATTTCTACTTTTTAGCATCGCAATGCAATCCTTTAGGTTCGAAGGAAATCTTAAAAGTTGATATGCACTTCATCAACCAAAAGAAAGAGGATGCATGCTACAGAGAATAAAAGAAAATGAAGAGAAAAAACCCATGACAATACCATTATTACTTAATTTTAGTTTAATAAATTATATCTACGCATTAAATAATAACATGCGAAGATGTACTATAAAGCATGTTTGGGTATATTTAAAAGCACCTTAAATTGTGTTTTTATTGAGTATTATATCTTTATGCGCGGCTTTCTTGTGTATATGGGGTGTCACATTAATACTTATCAAACATGCTTAACATTGATGTAACTACTTGGAGGTAAGACTCGAAGGTTTCCTCTTATTTTTTTTTAGGGTAATTGGCGCAAAACGTCCCTACCTTTGAAGGTTTTGTGGAAAACGTCCTTACCTTTTTTTATTGGCGCAGAATGTCTCTATCTTTCACATTCTTTGCGCTGAACGTCATTTTCACCAATTTTTAACATAAAATGACCAATATATCCTCCTATATAAATAAAACAAAAAAGAAAAG